TTTTGTTTTGCTTTGGCTTTAATATATCCAAGATAGAGGAAGGGTAGTGAATTTAAAGGCAAAAAGGTGTCCAGGACACACAGCGTGAGTGGAGATTTTTGGGACTGAACTTATCTTTTACATCTGTGCACACAACAGCTGCCACAGACTGCTGGGATCCGTTAGAATACTACAGACCATTTATATTTTGGGAGTGCTGGACACACCCAACATGAGGACTGTCATGCTTGAAAGTACTCTTGAGATGAGTGAGCCAAAGATCTGTGAGCASCACACACTTTCAGTGTCTCCAGCCYAGCAGTTTTCCTGAAAAACCACCSYGCTGAGAAATGCTGGAGAATTCTTTGCAGGCAGTGTTTCCAGAGTGATACACTTCCAACAGATGTYGGAATACTGGGAATGAGAAATGTATAAAAGACAGGTGAAAGTTATATAACCTGTTCCTTTTGAAGAAACCCTTCATATTCCTTTGTGCACAATAAGCTTCTTTATTGAAAGGCTGTGACAGTGATGAATAGTTTTTCTTTCTTCTTATCTTAACAGAATTTTTTTGAGTATTAAAATAAAAGGCTGTTTTTMGGGAAGGGGAATAAAAAATTGCATCTAGGGGAACAGATTGCCAGTTGGCTCTGTAATAAAAATAATTTCTAAGTTTTTATCATAGGAATAAGCAGAACTGGAGAGGTTAAAGTGCTATAAAGTGAAAAACTGAACAGCTGGAATGGAGGAGGAGACTGCAATAACAGTTATGCAGGTGGCAAACAAAACCCAGGCATTGTGTGTTTAATGATGCTCCAGAAAGTACATAAAAGAAAAAAAATGAAGTTAGAAACCATTACTCTAGGAATTTTAATTGAGCAGATGAACACRGTGCTTGATGAGGGGTTCCTGAGCTGCCAAGAGGCAAGTCATGCTTACCTGCTTTCTCTTCTTTTGTTTTAAATGTGGTGTAGTTTTGAAAGATTCAACTCTCCCTGGTGCCAGTGTTGGACTGGGTGTTGGGATTTGGTGGCTCACTGGTTTCTGTGTCTGTGATAATGACACAGCAAGTGTTTTATAGCAAACCATTGACATTATTCAGCATTCAACACTGACAACAATATTCAAATGCCTGTGTTTCTCCCAGATCTCTGTGCCTGGTGTTTCCAGCTCACTGGCTCTCAGTGCCACCCCATCAGTGCCTCACTCAGACTCTCATACCCAGGACTGAGAGGAACACAGCTCATTTCTCTGACCAGCCACAGTTTTGTGCAGCTCTTAGAGCGGGTGGGAATGGCCCTGAGAGGACACTGCRGTGATCTCCAATTCTCTCATGAAATTTTTATTGATGCTAATGGATAACATGCTTGTGGTAGYTCTGCTAAAATCAGGGCTAGGTTAAGCAGCTATTTTTCTTGTACTGTCAGTTTRTGCCAGTGTGTCTGAACCCTTTGTGTGATGAATGGAATGGTTTGAGGCTGCATCTAGGCTGAGATCAGCTAGGCTGCARATGCAAAATACAGTACATTAAATCATGTCTGGATTGTTCCTGAGAGGTGTTCAATCTCAGGCAGATGCAACCGGGCACTTAAAGCAGAAACTGCCCCAAGCTTCTGCAGAAATCATGCTTTTCCCCATAGTCAGAGTAACACCTTAACAACAGAGTTAGTGCTTGAGTTGAACACTGATGGGTGCCTTGGTTGTCTGACACAAAAACACTTTGATGTTTCAGGGTCAAAAAAAGGTTGTTCCTTTCTGCTGCTACTCCCCTGTAGTGTACTAAGCCAGCTGATGGAATTCCCTGAGAAGGAAAGAAATTCTTTCCAGACCTAAACTAAAATCGAACCTTTTGTAAGGGACAAGCTAAGGTGTTTGTAGGAACAAGTGATCAGAAGATAAAAATTACTTTGGTGGCATCCTTTTCAAAATTGGACCATCCATTTTTATATTTTAATCACTATATTTTTACTCATTTTCTGTTATGCTTACAAGATAAGCATTGAAACCACCTATATCCAAACATTTTTAAATGAACATAAGAATGACAAACTTCCTATAGAGTTAGAAACAGAAATGAAGCCTCTTCAGTCCCAGGGCAGGCTCACTTGAGACAGTGACCTTTTTAAAAAGTGTTTGCCTTTCATATGAAATGTACTTTTTTTTTCATTTCCAAGGGGGAGAGATGACAAGGGAAAAAATACAATTTTTTTTAATGATTTTTGTCTTTATAAAACATAATTAAATTTAAGGGCCCTTAGTTCTTAATTTTATATTTCAGATTGATAATCTAATTTCACTTCAAATAGTTTTTTTTAATGTGATTCCTCTCATTAGGTTTTAAAAGGACATACTAAGCTGTCTGGGAAAGGGTCTAATTTCTGAAACTAGCAGTCACATGCCTTCAAATATTCTCCCTGTGCATTATTCAAAACACCTACAGCTGAGTGTGTAACTTAGGCAACCTGGCTTGATATTGAATAATGTAGTCACTGCCGTGACATTCGGAAAGATGTCTGTACCCAGTGAATGCTATTTTTGTGTGTGTTGTTTGAGGGATCATGAAAAACTAGCCTGAGTACTATATTTTTYCCCAGGAAGTATGTGATTTGGATATGTGTTTGTGTGTTTCTTGGTTGCTTCTTTTCKTYCCCTCTGCCTTYGTTAATTACCTCAATACATGTTTARAGCCTACCATTAATTGCCATTGAAGTGCATTTAATCTGAAGCAAAAGTTTCTGCTATTTAARYCTCTTGTCAGGAAACCAAGTATTAGAGTTGTTTGGTTTCTTATTTCCGAGGCTGTTTAATGACAGCATAAATATTCAGCCCGACTCTGAATAGGTAATTAAAGCTGACTTTTGGCCAGATGTTCCCCTTTGTTGCCTGGCGTGGAGCTGAGAGCAGAGCAGGAAGCGGCAATTCCAGTGCACGCTGTCCCACTGCAGACTGTCCTTGGCTTTGGAAATTGCCCGAGGGATCCCCAKGTTGCTGAGAGTCCCCAAGAACATAAAGTTACACCGATGTGAGCAGTGGAACGAGCTGCTGTCTCACCATCCCAGCGTGCTCCTTGCCTCSCCCMTTCTCAACAGTTTAGAAAATCCATTTGTGCAGCTGATTCTGGGAATGAGACAGTGGATTTCAGGAYGAGATAGTCTTTTAAATGTGTACAGGRTGAGAGAAGGCTTTTGGGATGGGTCAGGTGYTCAGAYGTGAAAAAAWTTGCTSCTTTAACTTTTGTGCCACAACTTCTGTCCTCAGAGACAGTWGAACTTACAAGGAGCAGAACAAATGCCATGAGAGCAAGAAACCAGGGAATAGAGGGAGGTGCTGAGTAAGCACCTGCAGTRTCTGGGGCTTTGCTTCAATATTCACTGCTCTTCAGGGGTTTACAGGGATCCCACCTTGTGCAATCAACAGCTTTGGCAGGGGACTTGGGAGAAGTTCGGGTGGATTTTGCACTGTGMTGAATGTGAGTGACCTCCTGAGCCCAGGAATCAGCAAGGAACCGAGGCTGTGCTTGGAGTGAACGTCCTCATCTATTTCACGTGAAATTCTGGCACTGCTTTCAAAATGTGAATAGCTGCAGAGGCTGGAAAGGAAGGGAGAATGAGACCACAAAGCACGGGAGGAGAACAGGGAACCCTTTCTCTGTCTCCGGGATTGTTCATGGGAGGATACCAGCCTTATTTTTATTCTCATGTTTGTTACGGCTTACTAAGTTTGGAAAACTSTTTAAACTTCATCGTGGATCAAGTGACAGTAGGGGTGTCTCTCTCCCAGGTCCTGGAAACAAGTAGCTAAAAATCACTGGAAACAGCAAGTTCTGGCCTGAAAGCACTACAGAACCATGTRGGAGAGTTCACTCCGAAGACAAACAATAAGAATCCCATGCCGTACAAGCCACCCTTAATGCATGTCGGGGAAAACGTTCGTGATTTCTGAGTGTCCGGTTTAGCTGCACCGACAGCAAGGAGGTAACCTTCGCAGCATTCTCCTGGCTCCGTGTCCCGCAGGACTGCAGCACCCTTTCCCGGCGGTGTCACCTCCGGCCACGGAGAGGGGTCTCTTTCTATGGCTGTCACCGTGGAAGGGTTTCCGCTTCAGTAGCCGTGAAATCCGCATCTGGGGCCGGGCCAGGCGCTGCCTTGTGCGGCTGCGGGAGCAGAAGGGGAGGGGAGGGGCGGCGCAGCCCCGCAGCCGGCGCGGGAAGCCCGTCAGCGCCGGGCCGGGCGCGCAGCCTCTTCCCCTCGCTCCGCACCGGCCGCAGGAAGGCGCAGCGGGGCGGGGACGAGAGGAAACAGCGGAGCCTCCCCCGGCGTGGGCAGCGCAGCTCCGCCGCCGGCCCGTGCCCCGGTGAGCGCGGCGGGAGCGGGCCATGTCGGAGGCGGAGAGCGGTGCCGCAGGTGAGCGGGGCCCCGCCGCAATGCAGGAGCGCTGCCGGCGGCGGGCGCGGCACGGCCCGGCGGCCACGGCTCGGCGGGGAGACGGTCTGGAGCCGGAGGGAGCCCCGTCCGGAGCAGGGGGAGGCGGGAGGCGTAGACAATGTCCCGGGTTTGGCCGTGCAGCGGGTCAGGGCAGGGCGGCTCCGCGGTGCCCCGGCTCGGGGATGCCCCGGGCAGGGCCGGCTGAGGGGCGGGAGGCGGCGGCTCGGCCGGAGCGCGCCCCGCGGAACCCCCGCCCGCCCGGGGGCAGAGCCGCCGCTCCTCCATCGCCTGCGGTGCCCGGGAGCCGGTGCCGCACCGCGGGGGGACCCAGGTGACAAAAGAATGCGGCGGCACCGGCGGGCGGGGGCGAGGCGGGGCGGGCGGGCTCCCTGGCCGGGGCCGGGGCGCTGCGGCGGGCGCGGCATCCCCGCCGGACGGGCCTTTGTGGCGGGGTCGGGGGCTCTCCCTGCGGCGGCCGGAGGAGGAGGGGGAGGGCTGGGACTGGAGCGCAAGACCTGCTGCTGACACAGGGGCAGCACTCCGGTGTAGCGAGAAACCCGGTGCAGTGGGAAAGAAAGAGCTGGCAGCCGGGTGGGAGAGCCAGCGCTGTCTGGGTGAGCGCCTGAGCATCCCTCGGGGACCAGGGAGCTCCCAGCGAGATGTAGGGGTGGGGGAAATCCCCACCGGTGCCGTTTCACCACGGTAACGGGGCCACATGTCTCCGATTTTGCAAACTTGATTCGAGCTGAGCTGAATCTTGTTTTGCCTGAAACAAGGATGCTGTGGGTTTGATCCGTTTGGGGTCTCACTGTGCMTGATAAACATAACACAGCCTTTGCAGGACGGGGTGGTCTCTCCTTGTGTGGGAACGGAGCTGGGGGAGGGAARAGGGTTCCTAGGATACAAATGATATGGGTGAATAACCCTAAGGGAAATGCAGACTCAGCCTGATTTCATTCGATCTCTCGATGCCTTTTTCCTCACTCTATACTGCAAAGGCTTGAGGAAACTGTAAAGCTGAGCCAAAGGTGCTGGCAGAAATATATGGGGAAACTTAAAAGGTTAAGTTTGATTATAGTAGGATTTAGGGAACGTTTTGAATGACATAGCTTAATTTCAGTGTGAGAGGAATTAAAGAGTCATGAAGTATCCATTAAAAGAACCCAAATCAAACTGGGAAACAATACTTAGAAACTAGTTGTRTCTTCAAGGTGCTCTACTGGATTCTTTCCCCTCCCCACCATCGAAATGTTCTCTCAGTGCTTCCAAATGAAGTCTCTAATGCCTGTTTGGTTTGAAGTAACCTGTAACAATTTTCTAGCATGCAGCTGACAAAGGAAGAATAGCCTGACAGATTCATTTGTCTTTCACATGACAGGGCATCACGTTTTGTTTTCTGCCAAGCTGCAAGGTTCGTGCAATGCAATRCTGAAATGAAGTAACTTGTGACTAGAGAGAATTTGTGCTGGAGGGATTTGGTTAAAAGAYGGAAGACCAGGTAGTAAAGCAATGATTTRTTATGCCWGAAATCTTTCCAAGCACTGGAATGYCGAGGCTGTCAGAGGGAAAAAAGGCTTCAGGAATAAACTGTGATTTAGTGTGTGTTGTATTGACAGTATTGAAGCTGCAGCCACTTCTTGCAGCACAGTACAATGCGTAAGAGAAATGTCTGTATGTAAAATAGCTGAGTGCTGTATGCAGTGCCTGCCCATCATCTTTATGGCTTCACTTAGCACAGCACTGCGGTATCTGCAGCTTGGTTAGTCAAATTGTTCATACCCAGGAGCTACTGCATGTAAAGCTTCTAATTATACTSATTTTTGGCATTTTTAAAGCCATTGGCTCATAATTGGGTAGTGCTGGTTGAGCTGACAAGTTTTCCTTTACTGTCACCCTGTAAGCTTTCGGTCTGAATGTTCTGATCATTCCCATGGGGACAGCAGTTGGTGTTACATAGCTCTGTACCTGCAAAGTCTCCCCAAAGCTTCAGTCAGCTGTAGAGAGGCCCCAAGAGGTCTGTTCTGTCCAGAGGCATTTTTAGCTGATGCATGTGTGGTGTAAAGGGGCTTTATCCTGGCCACAGGGAGTGCCCAGGGTTTCTGTGAAATGCAGCTGGCACCAGGAGCTGGAAGAGGATGCTGCAGCCTTGRATGTCAGCTCAGGTTAAAGCAGCCTCTGGGAGGACCAGAATGCTGCCTCAGCTAGAAAAGACCTGATCCCTTCATGAACATGGCAGGGTTTAGGATGTGTTTTGTTTTCTAACTGTGTCACTGGTGGTTGGGGTTATATGGGACTTGACTGGTGTCTCATCTTGTGCTCTTTTCTGCCAAGTGCTTCCTTTGTCGGTTGARTTGATGTGACCTGCCATGGCCAACTTCTCCCACTTTTATGGGAATGCTGTTGAAAATTTTCAGACCCCTTCTGGACATCATATCTGCTGTTGCAATTAAGTCTGGCTTTCTTTTGTCTCCCTTTAAAGTTACAGATCTGGTAAAATATTTTAAAATTTCCAGATACTTACTCTTCTAAGCTATTTCAGGGGATTAATTCCTTTTTTCTCTCCTCTACTATGATTTCACTTACTCTCTCTATAAATGCACAAAGCAACCTCCCCTTCTTAAAAAAAAATCTTAAGAATATACTTTTTACTTTAGAACAATAATATTAAAAGATCCCATTGTGTCAGTTTTCTGTACCTGAATTGGTTCTGCCTTTTGACGATGTGTCAGATGGGATTTCACAAGTATTTGACTTCAAAGGGCACACCATTTATGGTTTTAGAAACGTCTCCCTGTGGCTGTTTTAGACTGTAGGTATTGTGWAGCAGCAAATTAGCTTTTTGGGATATTTTAAAAAGCTGTGTTGGCTCCCAGTAAACGATAATGGAAAATGTGAAGGGAATAAGAAACAATGCAAGCAAACAATGCTACTTTAGATTAGTAGAACGAGAACAGTCATGACCTTAATTTAGTATGAAGCAACATGACCTTTTTGGGGAGTTTGCATCTGCTCCTTTTTAAAATTTTCCCTAAGTGAACTAGTTGTTGGTATTTTCCATATGCAGCTTTAGTGAAATCTTTGTCTATCCATAGATGACTTCTGTTCTTACGTAATTACTCAGCTGCTGTGTGGYACTTGTCACTTTTCTATCAAACATCCTTGCTGGTTGAAAGCAGGGATGGGTGAAGCTCCAGGTTGCATTGGGTTTGTGTTTCTGCAGTGGTGAGAGAGGTGCCAGGAGGGCTTGGAGTGGTGTCAGGGATGAGCTCTGAAGTCCATCAGCCCTGACTGTAAATGGTACACTCACTGCCCAGATGTTCCACCGCAGAGCGTGCARCTGTTTGGTGCTGTAAGGTCACAGATGTTGGTGTTGTGCTGAGGGGTKCTGCTGCCAAGGCTGATCTGAAATTCCTGTGACAGGTCTGCAGGTTTCATCTTCCTCACTGTGACAAGTGTCCTGGCTCCTGGGTCATTCATTACCCTGGATCTGCCTTTTCTCAGTGACCGGGCACATTTTTGATATTGAAAGAGCATTCCACAGCTCTCATTATTCAAAATKTGTCAGCTCTGGCCCATGTGCTGGGTTGTTAAGAATCATAGTGATATGCATTTTAAAATAAACAAATGCAAGTTTAAAATTTTGCTGTAACTCCTATTAAAACAGTGACTTTGCAGTGTTTTAAAATTAGGATGGCAGTGGTGATCTGTGTCAGTAATCAGTATTGAAACAGGAAATTCCTTCAAAGGCTGTCTCAGAGGGGATTTGAGAAACATTTTCATGTAAATGAAGAGGAAAATGCAGTCAGTTCTAAGAAGTAAGCAAATAAATAAACAARAGTACTCCGAATATGAAGGCCAGAAAGCCTAGAAAGCCTTTGTTCTTCCCTCAGGACTGCACGAGGGTGTGTCAAGGACAGCAGAGAGTGGCTTTGTGAGCTGTGTTGGTGCTCCCTGGCCCCGGCTCAGTGCTCTCCACTCCCTGTGAGTCACTGGGGGCTCCCTGGCCCAAATCTGGAGCTCTGTCAAGATTGATTTGCAGGCTCTGGGCACGTGGATCCGTTCTAAGGGCATCTAAATTTGCAAGAACAGGAGATCTGGAGAGGATTTTGCTTTTAGTGTTTCTTCTGTCAGTAGTGCCTCAGTCAACATTCTCAAACTGTGCTCTGCAGATGCAGCTKCTGAGGAATATTGAGAGAGATTTCCAGTAATCACAACCAGTTGGAGTCCAGAAAAATGTGGATGTGGATGTAGTTCAATAGCAGCAATTTCATGTCATCTTAGGGAGTTAATCCACATCCTCTCCCTGAAGAAAATCAGTTCCTATTGCAGGAGCCTGCCCAATGTGCGCTAGTTTCCTTGGGGAAGGAAGCAGAGATGAATTATTCTCCCTATGCTGCTTCCTTCTCCCAGAGGGAATAATCTGGGAACACTGCTTCAGTTTGTCCATTTCTGGATGTATCCCCAGTTCTCAGTGCTGTTCAGGACCAGTCCCTAGGATTGAAGCAATTTCTCTGGAAGGGGTTTACAGTCCTGAGTACTCCATGTCCACCTGTCCTCATGGGGTTCTGTGCATTTGTATCCATGCTGCTTCTTTTTTTTTTTTTTTTTTTTTTTTTTTTTTCTTTTTATTCCCTGTGAGGCTGGAAGAGTGAATATTTGGGCGTCTCTGCTCATTACAGGGATTGGCATATTTTTCTCTGTCGAGAGATAATAACAGCATTAAAATACAGTTCTCCAGTACATCTTTGCCTCCTCCTTGTCATTGTTTGGGAAATGTGGCCATTTGCTCTTGTGGATTTCATTGTGCTTGGAGGACTCTTGATGCCTTCTCAGTGATTAAAGATCAAAATACCTGTGGCTAGACTGGGCTGACTGGCAGATAGTCCCATTCCCTGGTGCCAAACAGATCCAACAGATTTAACATCTATTTCTCAAGTTTCCATGGATACCTGAGTGGAGCACTCGCTGTAATCAGAACG